CTATCAGAATTATTTTTCTTAAAGCTGTATCTGATCATGTCATTCCCCTAAGGAGCCTCTACGAGTTTTTTGCTTTTCTCTACGAGTTTGCCTTTTGTGCCATACTGAAGCATTGAAATCAAATTCTTAAAATGGAATGACACCTGCTATCATTCTCATTTATTTTCTGCTACTCTCCCAAAAGTAACACAGCCTTCATTAACACCAAACTTATTGTTTTTCATGTTTATGCCAGTCCCTTTGATGCTTTTGGGTCTCTCTCTGTTCCCTGTTTCAGTACTTACCTTTTGTCATCTGGAAAACTCTTTCTTGTCCTTCAAGACCCAGTTCCTCATGATACCTTCCCCTAAGTCAAAATCAAACACCCCTCTGTGCTAATAAGAGTACTTTAGTCATAGTATTTATCATGCCAAATTTGCAGTTACTGAATTGCAATTACTTTCCCTAGAGAAAAGACCATTTCCAGATAAAAATCCATCAAATTTGGTGTGTTTGTACAGTATCTGGTACATTGTAGGCAATCACTATATGTCATTGAATGAATAAATGACAAAAATTTCTTATTAAGTTTACAAGGTCTTTTCTCATGCTTTTTTTCATCACATTAGCATAATATATAAAGATTGGATACAAGAGGCTATATTATTATCAATAGTGACTTATTAAACTTCACCAACATTTTGCCCAATTGCAGCGCTTTAAAAATATACAAAAATAGGGGCGCCTGGGTGGCTCAGTCAGTTGAACTTTCAGCTCTTGATTTTGGCTCAGGTTATGATCCTAGGGTCTGGGATCGAGCCCTGCATTCAGCTCCCTGCTGAGTGTGGAGCCTGCTTAAGATTCTCTCTCTGTCTTCCTCTGCCCCTCTCCCCTGCTCGTGCGCTCTCTCTCTCTCTCTCAAAATAAAACAAATCTTTAAAAACATATACATACAAAAATAACCTCCAAAAGGTTTAAAAATAAAGGCAAAACTGAGCACTGCTCATGTTTTAAGAACAAAGTAATTATACAGATCATGATAATTACCTGTGGCTATTGGTAAATACATTGCAGGTTGATAATTATACTCCACTTCAGGTTCAGATTAGAATGTTCCTCTAATTTGCCACAGAAGCTACTATTTAAAGAGGCTAAAACCTGGAATGAGAGGAACTCTTTGAATTGTAGTAGCATTTCCAAGTCTTTGCAGTTTCCATCCACTTCTCTCATGTGGCAATAATAATCAATTCAGTTAAATAATTTAAAATCAGTAAGTTCTGTTATTTCCCTGAATTCCTTGGAAACAGTTGAGCCAAAGTAATGAGGAAAATCATTGATCTGAAAACTAGAGCAGTGTTCATCAAAATGTGAGTAATGACTCATTAGCGGCACATGAAATCAATTTAGTGTGCCACCCCAGCAATTAAAAAAAAGAACAAAACAGAAAATGCTATAGCGTGCTGCATCAGGTTATTTATGTTATTACATATGTTATTACGTAAAATCTTTGTTACAGTTATACGTGTGTGTGTGTGTGTACTGGGTTGTGATGTAAAATGTAATTCCCACTATGGTATTTATTTCCCACTGGACTGGGAAGTAGTTTTGAAAGTTACCACCCTATAGGACACAGCAATATTGTTCAAGGAACGGGATCATAGCCAAGTACCCACTTAATAAAATTGGTTTAAACTTGATAACATTGTAATCATGCCCCACTTCGGGCCCAAATTCTAATTACATAATCATAATTCCAAAAGCATAATCAATACCTGATTCATTCACCAGACTTGTCTTCAAATAACATTTAATTATGTTTACTACCACGGAAACTATGCCAAAAAATTTGCCATAGATTCTGAAGGCAATACCAAAGAAGCAGTTTGAAAAATATTTTCAGCAAAAGCAGCATCACTAAAATTAGACTCGGAGCACTATTTTCCAGGGCTACTTCCGAAGTTTCTGTTTGCATGTGTATTGCATTTAATTATAATTATTGTATAATTTTCTTCTAATGAGACTAAGTCCCTATCACACAGAAAACTTATTTTACTATTTCTGTATCCTAGTAGGTGTGTAGGTGTGTATTCTAGAACATAAGAGACATTTAATAAATGTTAGGAAAACAGTACTCATTTGGATAAATGCATGTTCTGAAACTTAAATGAGTGACTCAAGGTCAGAGCACATGCTAAGGCTATTCATGCTTATTGCCCACTTTAAATACTTCTCAGGGCACCTGGGTGGCTCAGTCGGTTAAGTGTCTGACTTCGACTCAGGTAATGATCTCACAGTACGTGAGGTCAAGCCCTGCGTGGGGCTCTGTGCTGACAGCTCAGAGCCTGGAGCCTGCTTTGGATTTTGTGTCTCCCTGTCTGTCTAACGCTCCTCCCCGCTCTCTCTCAAAAATAAAATAAACATTAAAAATTAAAAAAAATATATATATACTTCTAGTCTCTCAACCTACAAAATAGGGCTTTATTGGAACTTAAAACTCATAACTTTTTATTTATTTTTTTTTTGCACTGAGCTTTTTATTTTTTTTATTTTTTTCAATATAATTCATAACTTTTTAAATCAAAGGAATAAAATTGAAAACAAAATGAGATATTGTTCTGATATCAAATTATCCTGAACGCAAGTAGGGAAATGAGCACTCTCAGGCAATGTGTGTGGTAGGGAAAACTGAAGAAGGTAGCTGGGAAATACATATCAAAAATCTTTAAACATACTTATTCTATGATGAAGAAATTTTGCTTCTAGTTCTTTTTCTGCGGCAAATTAAGAATCTGCAAATACAGATGCAAGGATGTTAATTTCAAGGCTTGATAATAGATAAAGATGTCTAATATTAAGAGATTAGGGGCATAAATTACGGTGATTCTCATAATAGAACAATATGTAGTCATGAAAAATAATGATGTTCAATTATATTGGCATAGAAGAAGGCTCAGAAAAATAGACTATGAAAAAAAACAGGTAACAAAGCTATAAACTGTAGAGTATCATTTTAAACATTTATTTTTTTAAGTGTATTTATTTATTTTGAGGGAGAGCACAATTCGGGGAGGGGCAGAGAGAAGGAGAGAGAGAGAATCCCAAGCAGGCTCTGCCCTGTCAGCCTGATGCGGGGCTCCAACCCATGAACCATGAGATTGTGACCTGAGCGGAAGTCAGAGGCTTAACTGACTAAGCCACCCAGGCACCCTCATTTTAAACATTTATGAGGTGAAGTTCACATATCATAATTAAACGTTTTACAGTGAACATTTCAGGGCTGTTTAGTACCTTCACGTTATTGGCCAACAACCACCTCTGTCTAGTTCTAAAACATTTTCAGTCACCCCAAAAGGAAATCAGTACCCATTAAGCAATCCTCCCTTCCCCAATCCCTGGTAATCACTAATCTGCATTCTGTCTTCTATTGATTTCTTTATTCTGGATATTTCATATACATGGATCATACATATGTGACCCTTTGTTGCTTCACTTAGCTTAATGTTCTGTCTTGTAGCAGTACTATTCCTTTTTACGGCTGAATAATATTCCATTGCATGTACATACAATTTGTTTTTCTGTTCGTGGGTAGATGCACATTTGGGTTGTGGGAAGAGTTTTGCTATGAACATGGGTTTACTGCAGAATCATTTAAATGATCTAACTACTATTGGTAGAGAATAAATTCAGGAATATTAAGGGCCATTATTTTGGGATTACAGGGGAATCTTTTTATATTATTAAGAGCATTGGGCTTTAGAATTAAGCAGACCAGACTCAATTTCTTCCTGTGTAAAGTGGGGAAAATAGAACCTTAAACACAACTGCGTTATCATAAAGTTTAGTCGAAATATATGTAAAGCACTTAGAACTATGTGGAGGCGCAGTGTAAGTGCTGAATGCATAGTATTTTTTAATCCTTTGTTTTTACTTTTCGGTTACCTTCATCTAAAATATTTTCCCCTACCGGAATAATACTGGTGTTCAACAGGGTTTATGTGTTTTACAAATAAATTTGCATGCTACACACTTAGATGCGTAGTCCTCTCTGCTGATACTCATTTGGGCTGGCGCCAAAGGGTGCTGATGGTTTGATCTGATAACATCACTTTGGCCTAATCTAGTTCTACAATGTCACTCCCCCAGTTTCAATTAGGGTATTCTCCAACCCCCTGCCGTAACTCCTCTTCCATGTTAGTCTTTGTTTCAGGATCGCTTTATAATGTTGTGTGTGCAACCATCCAGGCTTTTTACATTTTAGTAGTTTCCGACAGGGACCGGTGAGGAGCACAGGCTTTCTCGTGCACAGCTAGCAAAATACTTTGCTATCCGATTTTTCCAAATACATAACATTTCCTCCAGAATATCTTTGTACTACCTAGAAAATCTCAAATTTTATTTTTCATCGTAAACTCAAACTTCTTTGCCAAATATGCACATCTTGAGCACAAAAGGTTAAGGTCCGGGAGCCTGCAGGGCACCTCCCCGGGTTTGGGGAGCCCGAACCGGCGTCTGCAGCCCCCGAGCCGCCCCAGCGCGGGAGTTTCGAGGAGAGCCCGGGGCAGCTGGGTGTCACGTGGAGGGGCCGCGCAGGGTTCGAGTCGCCACCCGGGGAAGCTGCCGCTAAGGGGCCGCATCCCCAGAGCCCTAGCCCGGGCGTTCACTACGGCCTCGCGAGGAGGGGAGCCCGCCCGCCCACTCGCGGCCGCACAGGTGTCGGGGTGGCTGCGCCCGAGCCCCCACCCGCGCGCAGGGCGGGCGAGAGGGATGGGCGCCGCCCGTGCGCGGGGGCTGGGGGCCGAGGGGGAGGTTCCCGCGAGGTGGTTCTCGGGCTCCTCCTCGGCGCTCAGGTTTCCTCTCCCGCCCGCCGGCTGCTGGCTGCGGCGCCGCCTCCCTCCCCCTCGCGGCCGGGCCCACTCTGCGGCCTCTGCCCGCCTCGCCCCCGCCCGGGCCTCCTCCCGCTTTCTCTCTCCGCTTCCCCTCGAGCCTCCGGAGGAGCCCGCAGCCGCGGGGCGCCCGGGAAGATGGCGGCGGCGGGAGGCGGCAGCGGCGAGGGGGGCGCGGGCCTGGGCGGCGCGGCGGGGTCGGGGCCGGGGCCCTCCGCCGGTGCCAGCGAGGACCCTGCCCGGGGCCCCGCGCCCAGCGCGCTGCACCCCGAGGAGGTCGCCGCGCGGCTGCAGCGGATGCGCCGGGAGCTGAGCAACCGCAGGAAAATCCTGGTGAAAAACCTGCCCCAGGACAGCAGCTGCCAGGTACGAGGATAGGACATTGAGGCGGCCCGTCCCGGGGACATCGGGGCAGGGCTTCCGAGGGAAGCTGCGCGGGGGTGTCGGAGCTGGTGCCCGGCGCCTGAACGGTGGAGGGAAGGAGGGCGTCGCTGCAGAGTTAGAACCGTCTGTGGATTTTGCAAAGCCCCCAGGCTTCCGAGCTGCGGCCCCCGGGCCGGGTGGCACATTAGGAAACTGAGGCTCCGAGAGGCGAATCGGCTGGTCCAAGGTCACGGGAATCGGGGGCGGCTGCCCTCAGTCCGCCCCGCTCTTTCCTTCCCCTGTGGCCCTTGGGTGAGTGTGGGAGGAGAGAAGTCGGGGAAAGAGTAGGCGAAAGGAAGTGAAGGAGAGTGGAAGTGAGCCGAGGAGCACAGTTTTGGGGGGCTAAGTTTTCGGGGCCACCTTGGGAGGGGCAGAGGGCTCCCCCCTGGGGTCCTCCGGCCTTGGGTGTGCCGTGGGGGGCGGGGTCACGGGAGAGCTGAAAGTGAGTTTTGCTGTTGCAGAAGCACTTGCCCAAGTTTGTATGAAAGAACTCTGCCCCCGTCCCCGCCCCCCGGTTTACCAAGGCCCCGGAATGGAGAGGTTATCGCTGCGCTTTGGGGAACCTTGCGGCCACCTTCTGTCATGCCAAGTACTGGAGGATTTGTTACTCAGTGACTCTGAGGAGGCTTAAAGATAGGCTACTTTGTGTCTTTGATCCAGATTAACTGTTGCTTTAAGATCAGAAACTGCATCTTTTTTACCCCCTCCCCCCCCCCTTATTGCCAAAGTCTACATCCTCGTTGTAGAAAAGGGAAAAAATACAGAAAAGCGCAAAGAGGGGAAATAGAAATCACCTGTGCTTTTTCTCTTTAATTGAACTATAGTTAACACAATGGTTATATTAGTTTCAGGTGTACAGCATAGTGATTGGACATTTCTGTACAATAGGTATTGCTCACTACAGTGTTACCATCTGTCACCATACAAAGTTATTACAGTGTTATGGACTGGTTTCCCGATACAGTTCTTCTCCTGCCCGTGAGGTACTTCTAACTGGAAGTTTGTACCTCTTAATCTCCTTCACCTGTTTCACC